CTTTTTTGTTTAGTTCCGTCATTTGAATATTATAGGTGTGTTAACTCAGCAAAATATTCTGAAAGAGTCCAGTAGTCCATAATAGTATTGAGTCTTCCTCTTGACTGGCAATGTCATAAATTGTTGACCTGAGTCCCCTACAGCTCAACATAACAACATGGCTTTACTTCTTGTACTTCGTTTTTATATTTTTCTGCTGGATGTTTAAGATCTAGATAAAGCAAGACCTATGCAACAAGAGTTGTAGCTTTTGGATCTGATAAGGTCAGTCAAATCTAAAAACCTAGCCAGACCTGTATCTTCTAGATATAAAATGAGCAATTATTTTGAGTCTGAACTTCAGCATTTTCCAAATTAAAAACAAACAAAAATTGATAAACTGTGTATGGAGGCAAACCAACAGTTTATACTTAGGGCAATGGCCCTACTTAATTAAAATTACCCAATAGAAGGTCTAGTTTTTTAATCAGGAAAGAAGCTGGATGCCCCAGTCTGATTATCAATGTCACCAGCCAAGAGCATTCCTTACGATGGGAGCACACTAAGCTGAACCCAGCAGGAATCGCAATGGCATCTGTCTGACCTCATTTCAAAACCTGGCACCATGCTCTATGAATGATCCATTGTTCTATATTTTCTGCAACTTTTTAGATTTCCATCACAGAGAATGATTGAAAATGAAAGTAAAATAAATCATTTAAGCTATTTGAGATGTCACTCAATAAGAAGTTCTTAAATTCAGAAGAATGGATTGCTTTGAAAGGTGGATAAGTGTCCTTATTGCTTTCATTATCTGCCTTCTCAAAATACACACTGTGTGCAGGGCACAGCAGTGCACACCTGCTGTTCCAATACACAGGAGACCGAGGCAGGGAGATTGTCGCAATTCAGAGGCGAGTCTGGGCTACAGAGTGAGCTCAATGCCAGCTTAAACTACATAATTAGACCTTGTTGAAAAGCAAACAAAAATCCAAGACAAAACAAAAAAATGCCCTGGGCAAGTGGCAAGACATCAGTGGAATGATGAAAGGAGCAAGGTCCGTGTTTCTGAGAAATCAGTTCACTGACTGATGGGATAGCAAATAGACTATTTCCCTTATTAAGTCTACCTTTAGTTTCTTCTTATTTGCGTTAGCTGATGATTTAGAGTAGACACAGAGCTTTTAGCTCTGCATCGGTAGGTTCTTCCTGGGAAATACTTAGTACCTATGTCTTCTAATGCTTGATAATATTGTTCTTTCTTGAATATCAGGGCCTGTACGCTGTGGGCAACTTTCTGCCTAGTGAAGAGAGTATGTTTCAGCACAGAGAAGCCCTCAGATCTCTGACCGACCTCAATCAAGACCCCAGCCGGGTTTTATCAGCTAAAAATGGTAGCAGCAGCGATGGAATCGCTCACACAGAAGGCATCCTCAACAGAAGCCACAGAGATGCGAGCTCCTTAACCAATCTCAAAAGGGCGAATGCTGACGTCGAGATCATCACCCCTCGGAGCCCCATGGGGAAGGAGAACATGGTGACCTTCAGCAACACCCTTCCCAGAGCCAACACTCCGTCGGTGGAAGACCCAGTCAGAAGGAACGCGAGCATTCATGCCTCTATGGATTCTGCTCGATCCAAGCAGCTCCTCACCCAGTGGAAGAATAAGAATGAAAGTCGCAAGATGTCCCTGCAAGTTATGGAGACCGAGCCAGGGCAGTCACCGCCCAGGTCCATAGAAATGAGGTCCAGCTCAGAGCCCTCAAGGGTCGGGGTGAATGGAGACCACCATGGTCCTAGCAATCAGTACCTCAAGATCCAGCCAGGCACTGTCCCGGGCTGCAACAACAGCATTCCTGGAGGACCCCGGGTGTCCATCCAGTCCCGCCCCGGCTCCTCACAGTTGGTTCATATCCCTGAAGAGACCCAGGAAAACATCAGCACTTCCCCCAAGAGCAGCTCAGCTCGTGCAAAGTGGCTAAAAGCTGCCGAGAAGACCGTGGCCTGCAACCGGAGCAACAGCCAGCCACGCATCATGCAGGTGATCGCCATGTCCAAGCAGCAGGGTGTCCTGCAGAGCAGTCCCAAGAACAACGAGGGCAGCACAGTCTCCTGCACCGGCTCCATCCGCTACAAGACCCTGACAGACCACGAGCCCAGTGGGATCGTGAGAGTGGAGGCTCACCCGGAGAACAACAGGCCCATCATCCAGATCCCGTCCACCGAGGGTGAGGGCAGCGGCTCCTGGAAGTGGAAGGCTCCTGAAAAGGGCAGCCTGCGCCAAACTTACGAGCTCAACGACCTCAACAGGGACTCAGAAAGCTGCGAGTCCCTGAAAGACAGCTTCGGTTCTGGAGATCGCAAGAGAAGCAACATTGACAATAATGAACATCACCACCATGGAATCACCACCATCCGCGTCACCCCAGTGGAAGGCAGCGAGATCGGCTCAGAGACGCTGTCCATCTCTTCCTCCCGTGACTCCACTCTGCGAAGGAAGGGCAACATCATTCTGATTCCTGAAAGAAGCAACAGCCCCGAGAACACCAGAAATATCTTCTACAAAGGAACCTCTCCCACGCGGGCTTATAAGGATTGAGTGCGGACCATTCAAAAGTTTGGGTGACATCCCGCCCCAAAGACCCCGCGTTGATTCTACCTGTTCCAGAGGATTAGGAAGCTTTCTCGCCAAATTAGATTGTTTACCATCAGCCCAGAACTCTATTAACTCTTGAGAGCTACCATGCTAAACTTGTAGACTTTACATCACCAGAGGGGTAAAGCACAATGCAAGAACCTAACTAATGTGATGATGTGAGAAGTTTTCTTCTTAAGACCGGTCATCCTATTTCAAAGGTTTTGCAGAGGGTGGCATCAAAAGAAGGTGGTTTCCTTCTGTGTATACTATTTTACTTCCTGAATGTGCCAACTTTGGAGATTTTTTCTTTATAATTAGCTGTGGGAATCCAGAACACACAGGTTTTTCCCTACAGCAGAGGCCATGCAGTATTATATATTCAGTTTGCAGAATCTGCACCTCAAACTCAGTATGGGCGGTGCTGGTTATTATAGTACATATACCATGTAAACTCTCAGACTCTATTTAGCTGTGCAGTAGTGGTGTGCAATTCCTTGTCAAGAAATACTACTTTATTAAGAAGATGCTGGCTACTTTGTGTTAGAGTAGGACACCTGCAGCTTCCCCCGTAGTGGCTCTCACAGTAAAAATAAAAACAAAGTGTTTTATGTGCACTTCTTCAAAATTATGCTTTCTTCAACATCAGAAGTTGTGTAGGAATATTTTCAGTGAAAGGTAATAACTAGTACTTTTTCTGCTGCTCACTTTTTATTTAAGTACAGGTACTTAATACAGGTATTAAGTAACAGGTACTGTTAATGAAGGACCTGGTTTTTTTGTGAGTAAGTTTACATAATTTGAAAAATAGATTGTTTTAGAGAATGTTTTGAAGTTGTTGTGACTATATTTTGCATTTTATGGCTTCTCTTTCATTTATTGTTTGATTTTTGATATTCTATCTATGTTCTATTTTAAAAACAAAAATAACAATTGACATTCCTTGAACAAAATACATTGCTGTGAAGTTACACAGAAGAAATCTGAGCCAAAACTTGACATTGTGGGTTATATTGCCAGAAATGTGGGTCAATTCTACCCTTAGATACCTCCAACTGACCACTTTAGATTCCCATCTTAACGAGTAATCTAAAACTTACATTTTTGTCCCAGATTGCTTTTCTTTTTCAATATCTTGATAATCAGTGACTGAAAATTGCAGTGGTTGAGTTTCAACCTATTCTCTAAAATAATTCTGTGAATTGAGCACCAACAGGAAGAATCTGGGGAAAAATGCATATTGATTAGTAAAAGTATCTCACAGTATAAATTAAGAATGTATCTCTTTGAAATATCTGAACAGGCACAGCTTTAGTGCTTAACAGGCAATCAACCATTTCTGCTACCTATCTTGAATTAAACCTTGAGCTTAAATCAAAGGAAACTAATACTGTCAATCAAAACACACACAAAAAATTATGAAGCCTTTTCCAGGTTAAATATTTAAGATGTGAACAAATATTTGGTTCTTGGAATTCACCATTAAACCTTTTTTTAACATATACACCATTTCTTAAGAATTCCAATGTACACTTGATGATTGCCAAGAGACTAAATGGCAACAACACGGGCTGGTTGATCCGACCTTACTTCACTTTTCAAAAAGAACAAGAGTTGTTCAGAGATGAACAGCATGGCATTACTACCAGGTTCTATGGGAAGAGGGCAGGGCTTTCTGGACAAGCCAACCTCCTACAGCATTAGGAACTTAGCTGAAACCAGCAAAACTGAAACCTTGGCAATAAAATAGAGACTCAACCACATCCTTTCTGGCAATTTCCTTCTCAGAGAAGGAAGTGGGAGTAAAATGCTGCCTTCCCCACTTCTCACCATCTCTACCATCATGACACTCATACTGGCTTTTGCCAGTGTATAGAGGGAAAGGTGGGTTGGTTTTAGTACTCTGAAGAAAATCTAAGCTGCAGCATTTCAGGTGCAGTGTGATATTTCCTAATCTTTCATATTTCTTAACAAAAGATTTTAAAGTACTTCTCTAGTCATTGAATTTTTTTTCTTTACATGATATTGATATATTCTTTTTCTACTCAAAGTGCCAAAGGCTACAGTTTTTAAAGACTTAACTAATTGTACCACATTGTTAAGGAAATATACTATAGACACTATAACTCAGACCTCTGCATGTATATTTGATAACACATCTTTTATAAAAAAAAATTACAAAAAAATTTGTTTACATTCCACTGGTACCTTAATTTAAGATAAATCAGACTAACAGGTGGTATCTCTTCTTAGTGTTCTATTATCTTATTTGCAAATGGGAGCACTTCTTCCTTTGTTAGGCTGTGCTTTATTGATAAAACCAAGTATTGAATAAAGAGAGTTAATTATCTTTTTAAAGTACATAAATTATAAATATATATAATATATATATAAAGTATTGTGTTTAATAAAATGTTATGCAATGTTTTCCAAGCTGATAAAGTTTGTAAAGTGCTATAAATGTATTTTGTTAAGTACAGATCAAAGCTATTGTGTGAGTATATTGTGCTAACATCATAGAAATAAAGATTAGATTTCTTCATCAAAATTGAGTATTTCGGCTTTCACTTCAGGCACAGTATGAATGAGTGGAAACTTGGATGATGGGAAACCAGATCAGGAGCTAGGAGTAAGTTGGAAATTATTAAATTCAAAAGCAAGATGTTTGTCAAGCACGTTTCTTATTTTTAATTTTTACTTTATGTTCATTAAAGATACTCTTTTTGGATGCAGATTAATTTTATCAATGCCATTTTGCTATTAAATATTAAAGAATAGTAAAAAAATATAAATGAGTCAATATCAAGTGTTCAGAATCAATTTTTCTTTCATTTATGTATTTGGTACAGGGTCTCACTGCGCAGCTTGGACTCTTAGTGATCCTGCTGTTTTTAGCCTCCCCAGTGCTGGCATTACAGACATGCGCTACCACACCGGGACTTCAATTTTTGATTAAGAGAAGTAGCTGTGCATATTTCCTGGGATAGCATCACTCTTTTGGCAGTCATGGACATGGATGTTGCAGCTTTTCTTTTCTTTTTTGAAAATGTATTTAGTGCAGGGTCTACAGGGTCTACACAGATCAAATTGGAGTGATACTTCCTGTTTTTCAGCCTCCCAAACACTGGGATTATATGCATGCATGACTACGCCCAGTCATAATTTCAGTTTCAGTGTGCTCTGGGGGTGGGGATACACAGCACACCAAGGATTGAACCCTTGGCCCCTGCGTCTATGTAAGCAGGCACTTTAAAACACTGAGCTATCTGGCTGGCCCAACAGCTTTTCTTAAAAGATTGCTTCACTATCTCTTCCAAACTGCAATGTACTCATAAGAACTTTACTGCCAATATGTCTGGACCTCATTAGAAGATATTAACACAAGTGCTCAGACCACAGTCAGGATTTATGCTTTATAATCTTCAAGGGGCATGATATGCAGAATGAAGGGGATGATGTTTAGAGTTGTCCAGTGATACCACCAGCTCCAAACAACTGCCCAGAATAATCCAGCTTATTGACTGCCAAGCAACTCCATTAGGATTGCTGCCTACGGAAGCATTATGACATGTGAAATAACACTGCATTATTTGTAATATTTGAAATACCTTTCTCAGTTTTGAGCTTTTTCATTTGTAAAACAGGAACACCCAACAACATTATACTTCATAAAAGATAGTTGGTCAAAAGAAGAAATACAAATAAAAAGGTATAACACAATTAAAAGGAAAGTGAGAACATGACAATTGGACAAGGAGGAGAGGGTAGGGAGAAAAGCTTGGAAACCTAACAGGGGCAAAGCCACACATTTATACGCACAGGATGGGTAAGGTAATGATCCTGAGAAACATCAGCAGGTTTTTGAAGCTAGCAGTTAACTGGTAGGACTCTCACCCTGACTAACTATACATGCTGATACCTGTGAACCAAGCAACTGCACTGAAGATAGCAATGTGTAATAGAAGGGTCATGCTTGGAATGCCTGTCATTCTGGTCTTCTAAATACGTACTTCTTGTCATGACACACCAATTACTGCCACACTATCTTTCAAGTAAATGTTTTTCTTAATGGTAATAAATGAAAAAAAAAAAGACATAAGGAAAAAAAGTCACTAGATTGTCCTACTACAATGCTGTATATGGTTAGATTTGTAAATTTCTGTGTAAAAATATGTAATCATTTATTCATATTGTTTAAATATTTTTCACTTTTTATATTTTTTTCTCCATATTCTGTAGGGACTTAAAGTTTAACATATCAATACTTGATGGAAAACACCTGCTCCCTGTTATGCCTAAGATGTTTGATATTCAGACAGACAGTGAAATGAAACCCAACTGCATATGTTGAAGGGTAATAATAATCTTCTCTTCTGGAGGGTTAACAACCTAAGTTGTAGACCAAAAATTAGAGAAATAGAAGGGCTGCAAGGACAGCCAACATTTTGACCCTAGCCTTTCAAGGTCAGTGAAGACTCAAGACATAGGAGAACTTATACTGTAACAACATGTAACTCAGCTGTGCTCCAAATTTTCTGATCAAGGAGATTATGGGGCCACATAGGGAAGTGATCAATGATGTAGAGTGGGCCTAAGGAGAGTCACAAGGAGATAAAACATTCTCACAGGTTTTCACAGAGAGAGAGCAAATAGGTCAAGCAGTGACCATGACTGATCTACATGGGTGACACTGACAAAGGATATGCAAACTGCGGTACAGTGTTGCAGGATAAATCCTGAGGGTATTTGACTGACCTTATCAGATACAAAAGTTGCATTTCTTTTTATATAGGTCCTGCTATGTCTTGGTCTTAATCATCCAACAGAAAAGTATAAAAATGAGGTATATAAAGTAAAGCCATATTAATATGCTGAGCTGTGAAAGGCTCAAGTCAACAACTTCTGTGGATAACCCACTACTATTGTGGACTGCTGGACTGTGTTGGATTGTTTTGCTGAATTCACACACCTATAGTATTTAGATGTCAATGGAATACCATTTCTGACAGTACTAAACAAAAAAGGGGATATAAAGGAAGGGCCATTTTGCATCTGTATATAGAGAATAGTTAGGATAGACATACAGCTACTTTTGCTCAATTCAATGAGGAGAAAGATCTATACTAATAGTGTTTGGACAGGATATCCTGTCTGCATCT